AACATAAACTCTATAAGTATGTACAGATCATGCCGACGCCTTCCCGCGATCCTCGCTAGTACCTGAAACACATAACACAACAACTGTAAGAATAAATGCTTAGTGAGTTCCCCAAAATACCACATACCACACATACGCCTTTCTAGGCCATAACTCTATAGGATCTTCCGATCCATGTGTCTTAGGGGACTTCCGTCCCGAATCCCGGTAGACCTTCCGGTCCTACCCGTATCGACCTTCCGGTCCATAACCCCTTGACCTTCCGGTCCATATCATCTTGACCTTCTGGTCCTTACCATACATAACATACATAACACATACATATCACGTAACAGCATATAGCACATACATCCCATAGCATACAAGACCTTCCGGTCACACATATCACATAACCGCATATAGCACATACATCATAGCATACAAGACCTTCCGGTCACACATAGGGTACCCTTCCAGGTACAGTATAGTGAGAAGACTCACCTCGAAGATGCCGGATAATCACTCGTGCTCAATCTTCCGACCTAGCTTCCTCCTATAACATAAAGACATCTCTAATTAACACCTCCCTGACTTAGTTTGACTAATTCCCTAAAGTCAACACAAGTCAACTCTGGTCAACGTTGGCCAATGGCCACCCCTTTGACCCAACTCGTCGAGTCAGGCACTGACTCGGCGAGTTCAGACGTGAACTCAAGTCCCCTAAATCCCAACTGACTCACCGAGTCACTCCCCCAACTCAGCGAGTCACCAACTGTGAGTCACGGGACAACCCGGTCCGACTCGTCGAGTCTGCTCATGGACTCGGCGAGTTCATTCCATGCTCGAACTCAAATGGCCTTCTGAGGTCAGATCTGTTCCTCTAATCCATAGATCTGACCTTCCTAAGCTCATTAAACACGTAAAGGTTCAAACTTGATACTCATACAACGTCCAAATAACTCTACTTGAAGAATTAGCCCCAAATACAACATCCTAAGTCCATTTCTTCCATAACTCATCATAAAGCAAGATGGATAAGGCTCTCTGGACCACTATGGGTCCAGATCCGAAGCCTAAACATGATAAGGGGCCATATTTCCAACAAATCATCCCAATAAAGGGGTATAGAAAACCCTAGATCCATGGATTCTTCAACAAAACAGAAAAAAGGATCGATATGCTACCTCAAGGATGATGTTCTTTGCTTGAGATCCACAGATATGCAACCTCTTTGGCCTCCTCTAAGCTGGAACCACCTTCTTCTTGCAAAACCAACCCACAAAGATCAAATAATGGCTTCTTCCCTCTCACAAACGCTCAAGCACTCTTAGGGTTTCTCTCAAGGGTCTGGTAGCCGCAAATGGTGGCTATAAGAGTCCTTAAATAGGTCCCAAACCCAAGAAATTAGGGTTTCTTTCGTCAGTTCTGACTCGGTGAGTGCACTCCCCTGACTCGTCGAGTCTAATCATTTTCCACGTCACCCATTCGCGACCTGACTCGACGAGTCTAAGCACCAACTCGTCGAGTCACCTCAACACAAATCAAATTACAATATTAATTAATGTACCTGGGAAACCAGGCGTTACAATATCCATTAGACGCCATTTAGCCGAAAAACTCAGACCTGCGTTGGATATCTTGAGTCGGATAGAGGGTGTTCCGGTGACTTCTGTCAAACCGAAACAAGGGGGAGAAAAGGTTACTCAAGCTGGCAAGAATGATACTCAACTTCCTCCCGAACCCAAATCAACAGCTGCACCGAAGGATAATGTAGCTTCGGTCAGCAAAAGGGATAAAAAGAAGAAGAAGATTGGAGAAGATGATGAAGATGATGATGATGATTTCGAAGATATCTTGGGTGAAAATCCCTCTAAGACCTTTCAGAAATCCAAGCCCACTGATAAGGAGCTTGAGAAAAAGATTGAGAAGGAATCAGTTGAGCTCGAGAAGAAGCTAAAAGAAAAGGAGCTCTTGGAGAAAAAGAAGTCCATTTTTCCAGAATGGACTATTGAATCGCTCCAGAGAGAAGCTATAGATGAACCGAGTACTCATTGGCTTGAACCTGTAATGTCGTTCGGTCTTGAGAACTCGAAGGACGCTCAATTTGATATGCCAATCACATGAAAGGCATTTATATTTCATTGCTTCAACTCAACTGCTGTCATTCCCTCTCCGGACCCGAAGGTAGATCGGGATCTGTTGGAATTTTATCTGGAGTTCGCTCAACCACAGTACTTGACCTGGAGCTCACAGAAAATTACTACGGTCAAGGTACTGAAGCCTTACGCAGCTGGAAAATTTGTCAATGTCAAGTTTACAGTGACCCGAGGCTCTGACAGCTCGGTTCATAATTTTTCCCTGGCTGATCTACCGAATCTTAACCCTCACGACTGGATACTCCTCAACAATATTCTGCTGTCCAATCCTCAGGAGTATCAGCCGATTATTGACCACATCAAGCGAATGCTTGTCTGCTACATTCATGAAGTAGCGAAAATGGATCAAGAAATCACATCTGCCATTCACAAGCGACCAACGATCAAACCAACTGGAAGAACTGGCAATGTGAACGTGATGGTCAAGGGTAAAATCGACCCCAAATTTCATACATTGATGTTCGTTAGGAGTGAAAATCTCAAATGTCTTTTTGCTCTTTGTGATAAGCACATGTTCTCAACTGCTTGCTTGGAGCATATTTTGGAGATCATTCATAGGTGTAATCAGAATTCTGCAGCTGACAAGAAGTTGTTTACTGACATGCTACGATGGTATATTCAATTCCGGCAGACACTTCTTGTTATCATTCCTCGGCTGTTCAAAGTTGTGAAGACAGTGAAAGCTACTCAACAGAAATAATCTCTCGCCTCATTTGACGCAAAGGGGGAGATTGTTGGGTCGAATAGTGTTGCGTCATGGGCTCGGTCCTTAGCCCAGTTTTGCTATCCGGTTGGGCCTGTCCAACCGTGATTGTTTTTGTTTAGGGTTTAGTATTTAAGGTGCATGCATGTAGCCTTTATGATGAGCGCTTTGATTATTGTTATAGTTTTAGTACTACAAACCCTAGCTCGCCTCTACAGTGAAAGTTCTTTGTCGAGCTCTGCTGAGGCGTGACTATATTTGAATCATTAAGCATCATTTGATTCCATATTGTGTTCTCTGTGTTTATTTGATTTTATTGTTTAACCTGTTAAAGATCTAATCGATCTAAGAGTTTTTCAACTCAACATTCTTCTTGCACATTATCTCGGCATCATTGGCACTAAGTCAATCCATTCCTAGCACGATGTCGAAACCATTCAACTCGATGGGTAACAGCTCCTCGTGGAATTCGTTTCCATTCAAGTCGATGACGACGTTCTTAATGCAATCGCTAACGGGTATGAATTTGCCACTGGCAACTTCTATAACTAGAGCATTATCAAGTTTTTCTATAGGAAATTTTAGTCTTCCACCAAATTTATGCAATATGAAGTAGTAATTCGCTCCGGAATCAAACAATATATTGGCAGGCAATCCCTTTACAAGAAAGGTACCTGAAGCGACATCCGCTGCATCCTTCGCGGCTTCTAGTGTCATCTGGAATGCTCTCTCCTTTGGCTCCGGCAGAACATTTGGCCTTACCGCCTCCTTCTCCTTTGGGCAGTCCCTCGAGATGTGCCCTTCTTCATTACACCCATAACAAACTTTCTTATTGAAGGTGCATTCATTGGCATAGTGCCCAGGCTTTCCACACTTAAAACAAGTGACCTCCTCGCCACATTTCCCAAAGTGCTTCTTTTTGCACTTTTCACACCATTTCGCTTCACCTCCTCCTCCTTTCGAACCAGACTTCGAGAATTTTCTTTTCTTGTTGGACTTTGAAGGTCCATCGAACTTCCTCTTCTCACCCACCTCAGTTTTCTCCAGACCCCTTTCTTTTAACTGGGTCTCAACATTCTTGGCTGCTCTAACGGCTGCCTTCAATGTGCCAACCATTTTGACCGTTAGGCCAAAGTCTGATGGCAATCCGTTAGCAAATTTCTCTATCTTGACAAGTTCAGTCGGCACCAAATATGGAAATAACTTCATCTTCTCAGTGAATGTAGTAGCATAGTCATCAATGCTCATCCTCCCCTTCTTCAAGTTCTGGAACTCATTGTTTAGATCTATCAGATCTATTTCGGAGCAGTACTGCATTTTCAACTGCTCCAAGAACGCTTCCCAAGACATCTTCAAAGCTTCTCCTCGTGGCATCGTGTCTGCCAACAACTTCCACCAGCTTAAAACTTCGGTCTTCAGTTGTCTGACCGCAAAGACGGTTTTATGCTTGTCGCTACAGTTGCAGCTTTCAAATACCATCTCCATTTCGGAGATCCAATCCATAATCTCTACTGGCTTTGGGCTTCCGGAACGACTTGGTGGTTTGGCGCCCAAGAAGTTCTTATACATGTAACGACCCAAATTCTTTCCGTTAGTGAAATTAGCGTTCCCTTATACGGGATTGAGTTTTACGTGTGTTTATTGTTTAACCGTTATGCCAAATATATGTTTAATAATAATAATAATAATATTGTATATATAAGATACGAAGGTTATAAGTAATTCAAATAAAAGTAAAAGGTTGTTTGTAAACAAAGAGAGAAAGCTAAGGGTTCTATATTGTAAATTAGTTTCTAAAACAAAATCATACGTTTATGTACTGCGTCCTAAATTATATATACTATAAGAGTGTAAGGTATGGGTCTCGTTGAGACTCCTCGTGGCTGAGGTGGACGTCCAAAACGGCGTTGCATCTCGTTGTACACCGCCCCTCCTTCTTGTTGTGTTGCTTCTCGTGGTAACGACCACCTACAACAACGGCGTATTCTTCTTCTTTCTTCCTCTGTTTTTCTTCATCTTAACAGCGTATAAAATGAAAACACCATCCCCTAATCTCGTTGTGAAGAGAAGATGATGACGTGGCTGCGTTGTGGGTGGGTGTAACACCCATACCCAATGCTCTAAAAGCTTAAAAACCTTAGCTTGCAGTATACTTTTTTCTCTTTCATCTTTTGCACGCAACTTTCTTCCTTTCATATTTTGCCACTCAATTCCACAGACCGCCATACAATTCCTCATTCTTATCTTCTCTTCCTCACACCCATTTGCCGCCTTTCTCCTCAAATACGGTTCCTTTCGGTTTTATTTAATTGTTTCCCCTTTCTTCTTTACTCTTCTTTCATGTTTGCTTCTTTGTGTTTCTCTATGTTTCTTTTCTAGGTATGTTGTGTACTGCTTCTTAATTTACCGTTGTTACAATCTGATGTCGGGAATCATACGTCTCTATTTCCGACTCCATCACCACCATACGGCGTCTTTGTTACTATCCCCATCTTCACCTAATTTCTTCACACTTCTGGCTCACAACTATTTACTGTTGCAACATTCCACAGAAGAACACCCACCAAACTCCTCCGCTGGACCGACTTTTATTGCTCGGCGACACCGGCTGCTGCTCCATCTCTTCCTTTACGCTTAAACAGTAGGTTTTACGTCCGTACCTTCACCCTTGCTTATGCGTATGGTCTGGGTTTGATTATTTGCCTTAATTGCACCATTTATGTGATGATAGAATTTTGTGTTTCTTCAGAAGCAATTGGAGCTGATGGTAAGGACTGTGAAGAATCATCATCACGAAGAAGAAGAGGATGACGAAGATTTCATTCGGAGAACGACTGATGGCTCCTCACAGAAAGGTTTTTTTTCTCATAAACATATACGTATTATTTATATCTACATTTGTGCGTGCATAATTGAAATTTAACTTTTCAATTGAATGCACAGATGGAAGGAGGCATCTCCGCCTCCTGTATCAAATCACCCCCTTCATCGATCCATGTAATTTGTGCCATCTCTTCTCTCTTGCTTCCATTCCCGATCTAATCTTATGAGTAATCCGCTTTGAAGTTTGTTTGATTAATTTCAGAAATCGATTGATTTTGTAGGCTTTACTTTTTTTTTTTTTTAATTTCATCAACGCCTCATCGGGTGGAATTTGCCAACTGCTCGACATATTGCTCCAAAGAGTAATCATCTTTTTTACTTTTTATGCGGCGGGTGGTATAACTTTAACATACTATGTAAAACGTATTTGATACTCAACTATATATCTATAATAACATAGGCAAGTCACCGCCCATCACTCACTACTCCATCAAGCTCTGCAATATGAAAACGGTAAATCTTTTGGATGAAGGTCTGTTTGGTTTTTAGATTCCGATGGAATTGGAATTTCAGATTCCATTCCATCGTGTCTTTTGGAATTAAGTTCCATAACAATCCTTCAAATCCATGTGTTGATGGACTTGAATACATCTTTGTTCAGGTACATCAGTTCAAACTATGATGCGGTATCCATCATATATGATGTTTATAAATATGCCAAAACACATGGATAGAAGATGCAGGCACTGATGTACTTAAAGCATGTATCCTTTTTTACTATTTTTACTTTCGTTCCTTTGACTATTTATATTCAACAAAAACATCCCCCCTTTGGAATACTATCTTCTTCATCTGTCCTTTTATATATACAAGAGTCTTGCACTGTTGGCCACATGAAAAAAATCATAATGTCTTTTTTTTTTATTAGCTATGGATAAACAACCAAATATTAGGGCCCGATTTTGGGTTCATCACACGTTTAAGCAGCCAGGTATCGATGCCCCTTCTTTCATCTTTGTTTTCTCAATTTCATAAGTTAGGATTTAGTTTTGGGTTTATGATGATTAGAGCCCATTTGGCAATTGTGATGGAATATGCTTCTGAAGGGAAACTTTTTGACCCCAGCCCATTTGTCAATCCTTTTTTTTTTTAATTTTATATGAAGTTATTTGTTGTTTTTCTTTCTTGCAAACATTTAATTATGTTGATTATGAGCAGGCTCGATTTTTCTTTCAACAACTTATATTTGGTGTCAACAACTGTCACTTTATGGTAATTGAAACTTTAAAAATGTTAGTAAATAGTAAAAACTTTTATATTTGTTCAAATAGGTATCATAAACTTACTGAATTCAATTTTGTTTCATTGTTATGAAATTTTGTATTTTTGTTTGTTGAATGTGGCAAGTTTATGGAAAACAAAAATTGTTAAAATAGTAACCAAGTTTCAATTTTGTTATGATATTACGAAAATGATGAAAAAAAAAGTTTGAGGTACTCAGTTGAACAAATTTTAAATTAGGTTACTTTTTAATAAAAATAGTTTTGCTTTTTTTTTATATTATTATTATTATTATTTGGGTAGAGGCTAATGATTTGAATTTATTTTTTCATCATTGAAGCAAGTTTGTGTACTCTATGACATTCAAGCAGTGGAAAAACATTGATGTGAACAAATTTCATAAAACTTACGATAGATTTGGATGAAAGTTAGTATCTATATTAGTCCAAATTGCATCTCACATCAGGTAATGCCAATTGTACCCCTGTTGACTAGATAAGGCTAATTGTGTAATTGTTGTGTTTTTTTTGCAGGTAGGAGAGAATTGGTTCAAATAGCCAAAAAAAAAGAAGAAACCCAGCACCAAAGGCGCATCTAATTCCATCTAGTTCTAATTAAACGCTTCCATGCCACATGACCGTCACAATATATATCGAGGATTCGTTGATCATAACCGACACACCAAATGAATTACTAATAAAGGTTAGGATATGTTGGGATTAAGGCCGAAAATATGGGGGCCAAATTGCAAAAAACCGTTATGAATACCCCATGAAGTCGTCGATCAGGTTTAAGGCCCCAAAAACCGTTCGTTCTTTCTTCCTCCATCCCTATACATGCGTTGTAGTCACCCCATCAGTGCTTTTCTAGGGTTGCGACGTGATCAGAGGACAAAAGAAAAAGAAACGTGCGTGTAAGGAGGGAAATAAGAACGCAAGTCGAAAGTGAGAGACGGGAACAGTGGAAATAATAGTCGACTTCACAAGGGACGACCTTGAGGCTGTTTGAATCGATTTTCTCCTTTGGTAAACCCTTAAATCTTCATTCCCTTGTGTTACGATTCAATTGCTTGGAAATTGGGTTGAAATTTATAACCATCTTGAAGCCAAATTGTTTCCTTTTTGATGTTTTTTTTAATCCCATCTTCTTTCTCCTTACAATCTTTGAATGTTCATATGTTTAATTCTAGTTCTATTGGATGTATTTTGATGGTTTATTGCTGTCAAAACTTGTTCATGAACACCCTCAATAATTCTTAGTTCATGTTCATGTATTAATCCATGTTTTGGAGACCTTGTTTCTTTGTTAAATACTAATTTGAACCTTGGTGTGAGGATGAAATTGCTATTAATGTTTCTTGACAAGTTTCTACTGTTAAGAACTCAATTTTTATCTTTGTGGGTGCTTTTGGTTATGACTTGATAGGTTAAGTGGTCAAAAAGTCATTGAAATTCAAAGCTGGAAAATTCAGCAAAATTACCAATCTGTCCCTGTCTTAAAAAAAATGTAGAAAATCATTAGAGGTCGTATTGATGATCCGTAAACTCTCAAAGTTTTCATTTTGGGTCTACCTTATCCATGATTTTTCCCAAGACCTGGTACTGCATTGATAGGCAGTTTTGTAAAAATCATATAAAATTGTAGAAAAATCGTTTGGACCTTGTACATTCTGAAAAGATAAAAGTCTGAACTTCTGGAATATGAAATAAAAACGGAATATATACAGGTTTCAAGTGTGCTAAAACAGCTTCAAACAGGTGGCTGTTTTGGGTCCAAAACTGAGAATTTTAATTGTTAGTTTGATTTATGTGTTTGGGTTATAAATTTGTCATCTTTGGTATTATAGGACAACAATAACCTTGTTATTTGAAATGTAATAGGGGCAAGGGTGATATTCCAACCAATACAAGATTTGAACTGTGAGTTGGTCATATCTTTGGCAAAGGTGAGTCAACTTGTGGTTTTAAAAGTACATTGTTAAGAGTATCCCATATCTTAGATGGATTGGGATGTACCTAGTTATCTAGGATGCATGTGCCCTTTTGATGATTGATTGTAATGTCATTCTTGTTGAAATGTTTTATGTGTAATGATACCTAGGGTATTGCATGCTAGATTCTTCTTTGTTTGGTGTGATATGTGATCTACGGTCATGCTAGATTGAGTGAAGTGTATGAACATTATGTGATGTGAACATGTTAATTATTGTTTGAAAATATTTGTTTAAAATGTTTTAGGACAAGCATGCTAGAGTTGTATCAACTTCATTGATGTGTTGTGTATGGAAGTAGTGTGTGATGTAAAATGTAATAACTTAATGAAATTACATGTTTGCATGAAAATAACCCTTAAAGAGGTAATATGTTAATAAAAGAATATTCATAATAATTACATGATTACTTGAAAGGGTAAAAGTGTAACTCCTTATTTAATTAATCATTATTAAATTAGAAAAGGGGAACACACTAGCGGGGCGAAGGGTAGAAACCTAGACATAGGTAAATACCCAATCCGGATATTATGATGGCCTAGTGGGTTGAAAGATACCTATAGGAAAAAGAGCTTAAGCCAACTGTGACGCCGACTGGTTTTTCTAGACAACCATTCGGGACATGGTCTTGGTACACCTTGGTATACCGGGACTGGAGTGATGTTGGTCAAGCGGTGCGACCAGCGCAAACATCACATGGGATTTGGGAGGTGTATCTGTTGGAATTGGCACCGCTCGTACCAATCCTGAACGACAACGCATGTATACGTATGTGCACAGTCGGAGTAGCGAACGCAGCGCACCGGGGGCAATGATTACGGGTGAGAGTCGCGCCTCACTTAGTGCATTGGGTCGTGCCAGTCACGTTAGTAGCGAACGGGGTCTAGTTTTGGGGAGGTTTTGCGGTGAATAGAAAGACCCTAACTAGGAGGTAGTACTTTAATAATTATAGCGGTGAGCGGTGAGTAATTATTAATGTAAAGAGGAGAAACAAAATATTATATAATAATATTCAAGCGGTGAATCGATAAGATTAAATTAGTTACAGCGGCGTTGAGGAGAGTAACTAATAAAACAAGCTCTAACTGAAGAACTAAAGTAAATTGAGCTAAACCTGTGTTTGTTATGTGGTGTGATGTTGTATGTATTGCTAGTGAGTCTTTGACTGTGTGTGGATGTATTGTGTGAATCTATCTATGATATGTGTGTTCTCTTAACACTATACTATATTGACTCACGTAGCTTATGCTAACACTTGTTCTTTGCTTGTTGGCTTTCCTTGTGTGTTGGAACAGGTAGCTTGACATGATGCTTTGGTGAATATGGGAGCTTTTGGGTAGTCTTAGTTAGTATCTTTAGTTATGATACCATTTGGACATGTTGAGTTTCATCATTATGTTTTTGTGAACTTTAATTTTTGATGGGTTTGTTTTGACATGAAAATAAGTTTGATGATGTTTTTGAAATAAACCTAATAAGTCTTCCGCAACGTATTCTGATAAATAAATGTTTTTAAAAAAAATGGGTGAAAAATCACGATGTTACAATACATACGTCCATCTCTGTCGATTACCCTCTCCGGGTCATTCCTTCTCACCACTGGGGGTTCAACTTGACTGACAGTGCAACTGTTATTCCCTTCCTCAGACTGTCCGTCTTTCGGTTCTGGTTGTTCAACAGGCATCGAAGGTTCATCCTTATTATTCAGCAGAAGTTGTCTCATCTCTTCCCTTTGTTCGGCCATCATAGCCTGAATCATGGGTTGTACTCCAGCCATCGTGACTGGCTCAGGTACAGCTTCTATTATCGGCACTTGCGTAATCACTTGGGGTTGAGGTCGCTGATTCCTATTTTCATTCGCGTTTCCAGCTCCGCTTCGAGTTCTTTCCATTTTGATATATACACCAAATTTGGCGAATTTAGATCTTTATTCACGATAGACGTTTAAATCCTCCTTATCACTCTGAAACGTTATATGCTAGTTCTAATATCGTAGTCGAACGCTTAGAATCCTGAACACGTAAGGTTTCCAGATCCGGTCAGCAACAGACCATAGATCCGAACAAATAATAGCATATACGGCAAACATAAAACATTTAGCACATGAAAGCATTTTAGGCATCTTTTCCTAAAATAAACTAGTGCTCGTGTCTAAAATATGGTAGACGCTCATCTCACGATCATCGCTTAGCATTCTAAGTTTAAGTCTAGAAATCCTACAAAAATTCCTAGTTCACTTAAACTAATGCTCTGCTACCAACTGTGACATCCCCATTTTCACGGCCAAAAAAGACCGATTTGTTTATGCTTTATTTTCAAATCAGAGTAACCTTTTAAAGAAAAGTGTTGCGGAATTTGTTCCCATAAAATTATAGACAAAAGCATTTCCGAAGAAATATATTTTCATTACATTACAAAACTCAGGATGTCATCGTCAATACAGATCAAAAGGATAAACCAAAACAACATAGGCCTTACAACATTTCTATTTATTTCTATCGGCCTATAATCCGTAATCTCTCCTCAGATCATCGTATCTAGCCTCTTGTGTTGCTACCTGTAATACAAGAAACTGAGTGGGTCAGGCTGGGGAGCCTGATGAGCACATAGGCTTTTCAACCCACAATAAATAAGTTTATTATTATTTTCAACAATCATTCAACCTGATTACACGTTCATGTTAACATCACTTTACGTCCCTAAAACATCTATTATAAGGGACCTATCCTAAGGAATTTCATCGGGATGGACACTACTGCTAAGGGGATTCCTCAGCCATATATGTCTGTAAGGGAACCATGTGGGGATGGAGTACACCGGTGAACACATCGTTCACAAACACCTACAGGTTGCGAGCCTGCTAGCGTTCCACTGGACTTCCTAGAAAAGTTTGTGGTCGTCATCCATATTTCGCTAGATGACTGGATCAACGTCAACATCGATGCCTCTCATCATTTTATTTCATCACACACCACTTATTACATCTACCCATGTTTTACCCAACATATTTGTAGATTTAAAATACATCTGCAGTTTAGATCTGAAGAAAAAGTGCATATCTGAAAACAACATACATCTGCAGTTTAGAATTGAAGAAAAAGTTCAGATCTGAAAACAAAATACATCTACAATTTAGATCTGAAGAAAAGGTTTAGGTATGAAAACAAAATACATATACAGTTTAGATCTGAAAAACCAAGTTTAAGGTCCCGTCTGTTTACCTCTTAATTGCAAAATTAAGAGGTAATGTCTTAAAATTTCAGATTCAGAGTGTTTGTTTGAGTATTATTTTTTACCTCTTAAACTAAAAAATGCCTCTTATTTTTTCAGATATCAAATGAAGTCTGAAAAATAAAAAAAGCGACACGTCCTAATTTGCCCTAAACACATCGAGTCATCGACCGCCTCCTCTTCTTTCTTTACTTCACATCTGCTTGCCTCGCTCTATTCTTCTCCTCAGTTTCGACGAACCGGTGACGCATCCTTCCTCCTGCGCAACCGTCGACGAACGCCAGCGCCCCCGGCGGTGCTTATCTTCCGTCTCCATCTCGTTCTTCATCCGACCGCAACAGGTATGCTATGTTTTTTCCGCCTCCTCTTCTTTCTGTTTCATTCTTCTTTCACCTCTAATTCATTGGTCTTCTTCTGTTTCTTCCTTGTCTCCCCTCAAAATTGAAAATCAAAAAACGAAATTGTTGTGCTATTACTTTCTGATTTGTTCAATCAAAATCAATATTTGATGTTAGGCTCGATTTTGATGTTATATGCTCAATTTTGATGTTATATGATCGAATGTGAATGTGTTTAAGGAATATGATGAAATGTTGATGTTGGATTTTTTATATTATGTTTAATTTTTTTATACTCTAAATTTTATGTTTACTGTTTTTATAGTTGAGTATTATGTTGAAATGTTGTAGTTGTTGAAAATATGCATTATTTTTGTTGTTGTTATCATGAAATATCCATATTTGTGTTTGATGTTATAGTGAAATCATATGTATTCTTGCTTATATCATGAAATATCCATTAGTTTTATTGAATTGTACACTTGTTTTGTTGAAATAGTTGTTGAAAATGTGCATTAGTTTTGTTGCTGTTATCATGAAATATCCATATTTGTGTTTGATGTTATAGTGAAATCATATATATTCTTGCTTATATCATGAAATATCCATTAGTTTTATTGAATTGTACACTTGTTTTGTTGAAATAGTTGTTGAAAATGTGCATTAGTTTTGTTGCTGTTATCATGAAATATCCATATTTGTGTTTGATGTTATAGTGAAATCATATATATTCTTGCTTATATTCTTGTTGAAAAGGTGCCTTTATATTGCTTAAATTGTTGTTGAAAATGTTTATTTGTAATGCTTAACTTGTTGTTAAAACATGCATTTTTTTTTGTTTAATTGATCAAAGAAATGGGAGAAAATAAAGATAGGATTAGTTGGAAGGTTGAAGGATGAAGAAATTGCATTTTTCATGTTACTATGTTGCTATTGGTTGAATCTAGCATCCAACAGAATTGGAAGGGCAATTGATAATGATTCGGAAATGAGTGGTCATCAACATACACAAGAATTGTTACATGGAACTTCTACACAATGTCATGAGCTGATGCGTCTTTCACGTGAAGCATATGTACTTTTATGCAATCATTTTAGACGAAACAATTGGTTGCAAAGTAGTAGGCATATAAGCGTTGAAGAAAAGATGGCTATGTTCTTGATAACTATAGCACATAATAAACGGTTCAGGATTATCAAACGAAGGTTTCAACACTCCACAGAAACAGTTCATAGATGCTTTCATGAGGTGCTAAATGCAATGATGATTTTTGCAAAAGAAGTTATAGTACCAATAAATTCTAATGCAACCGTGAATTCCTCAGAGAGGCATCGTAAGCTAAAAGAAATCTTTCCTGGAGCAATAGGTGCGCTAGATGGAACTCTTGTACATGCAGTCGTGCCTGCTGATCAACAAACTCGCTATAGGGGAAGAGGAAAAGGTGAATGCTTTCAAAATGTTTTAGGAATTTGTGATTTTGATATGATGTTCACATTCGTATGGGCCGGTTGGGAGGGTATAACACATGATTCGCGAGTTTTGAAAGAAGTTGCATGTAACCCGACTTCAGGCTTTCCGTTCCCTCCTCCAGGTTTTTAATTCTTTTTAAATTTATTCTAAAATACAATATTAAATTTCTATATATAATACTTCCTTCACTCATGTGTATAGATAAATATTACCTTTGCGATGCTGCATACACCAACACTCGTGGATTTATGACTCCTTACCGCAACACGAGGTATTGGTTAGCCGACTATCGACGGCGACGTGCGTTAACTAAGGAAGAAAAATTCAATCATGCACATGCGCAACTCAGAAATGTTATTGAACGTGCTTACGGTGTTTTGAGGCGAGATTCTCAATCCTAAAGCGAATGGCTCCTTTTCCTTTTTCAGTGCAAAGAGATATAGTCGTTGCTTGTTTTGCAGTCCACAATTTCATAAGGAAATGCGATATTCATGATGAGTTATTTATGGCGTTCGAGGAGAACAATGCTCAAGCACAAGGGGGAGAGAATGATGACGAAAATGTACACGATATGGAATGGGGTTCACAAGGAAATGAATACATGGATAATTTACGTGACCAGATTGCGAATCAATTGGGGTGAAATTAAATTTGTAGGATTTTATTTGGATTTTTGTATGATTTTGTGGATTTAAAAATATTTATGTTTGATCTGGATTTGTGTTTAATTTTGATTTATGTTAAATTTGGATTTTATATGGTGTTTACATTTTTTTTAATACATATTTAAGAATTTTATTAGGTTATTTTCTAAATAAACAGTTGAATTCAATAAAAAAAATAAAACAGAAGGGTAAAATGGTCATTTTAATAATTCAGCACAACAATTCAGAGGTCCCAATCAAACAGCATGTTAAACATTCAGCTCTTAAAATTTCAGACCCTCTTAGAAATTCAGACCTCTTAAAAATTCAGATCTTAAAAATTCAGATCCTGCCAAACAGCCCCTAAATCTTTCATCTAGCACAGATCTCAAGTAAATATGCACACATAGAACGTAATTTATATAAAATACTTCATATCTATGTGTAAGATGAAAGTAACTATGCACTCACTTGATAAGGTTGTGATTCCAACTTGGACAGCGCTTCGTTTCGACGAAACCGGGAGGTTTGCTTGAAAACCGGACTATGCGGGGGCAGAGTTTCCGAACCGAAAAACCCTTTTTCTCGGAGCCTTCTGGCGCTCCGGGGCTTTCTTCAAGTGCTAGGGAAGTTTCCTAGGCTTTTGGGGGTGTTTTGGGAGGTTTAGAGAGTGAGTATAGAAAAGAAGAAGTGGATTTTGGTATAAAATATGAAGGAACTCTCGAGTGATATTTATAGGCTGAAAAAGGGGTGAACTCGTCGAGTTTCTGGCCCAACTCATCGAGCCACTGGCCCCCAACTCGTCGAGTTGCTGGTCCACCTCGTCGAGTTGGTGCCACGTTTCGTCATCTAGTGGAGAGAAAGCAATGACTCTTATTGCACCACGTCACCCACTTCGCTGCAGCACCCTGCCGACTTCTAAACCCCGTAACTTTCGCATACGAGCTCCGTTTTCGACGTTCTTTATATCCACGTATAGGTATTGACAAGATCCACAACTCTCCTTTTGACCTCATCGGCTAATTCTCGACCGATTTTAAATTTAACAGTATGAGAAGATTACACTGTTTAACAACCGCGGAAAATTCATAACTTCTACATACGGACTCCGTTTTCGACTGTCTTTTTATTGTTGAACTCCTATTAATGAGATCTTCAGTTCTCATTTAGGTTGTGTGGGCTAAAAATCGCTCGATCTAAAGTTCGAACTCCGGGGTGTACACTGTTATGCCAAATCTTAGAAAATTCATAACTTCCCCATACGATGTCAGATTTGGACGTTCTTTTTATGCACACTCTCGGTTTAACGTATACTACGACTTTTATTTAGATCGCTAAGGCTAAAAAGCACTTTCTCGTAAACTCACTTTTTACATCTCACAGCGTCGTGTCGGTTTTGTCGCGAAACTTCGACATGTCATAACTTCTTCGTTATAACTCGGATTTCAACATTCTTTATATGTCCGAAATCCTTGTCACGACCACTACAAATTTCTTAATAGATATCGAGTTTATCTAATGTTTTATTTTTGACGTTTATATTTATTATATCTTTACAAACAAGTATATAATCACACAATTCACATAATATTCAAGTAATTCATCTTTATTACTTTAAAATAGGTTACAATGGTTGACCTTGACTATTACATCATCGAATTAATGCTTAGCCTCGAAACAAGGGCGTTACATATGATTCACATACATACCAACCTAACCATTCAACAGATCCTTCAGCAATATGGTTCAATTTTTCATGTTCCCAAACACTTACCACCATCACGCTCCCGAGATCACCACATATCCACCATTCCCACAGCTACACCGGTCAATGTTAAACCCTACAGGTACCCACACTACCAAAAGTAAGTCATGACAAAGATGATCACATCAATGCTTAAAGACGGTATGATCAAACCCACCCAAAGCCCCTACTCATCACCGGTTCTTCTCATAAAAAATAAATATGGCACATGGCGTTTTTGTGTGGATTACAAAGCCCTAAACACAATCACCATCAAAGATAGATACCCGATTCCAACAGTTGATGAACTCTATGGTGCATCAGTCTTCTCGAAAATTGACCTACGAGCAAGATATCATCATATTTGAGTGGCAACCGACGATACCCACAAGACAGCTTTCCGTATAGTAAACGGGCATTACAAATTTTTCGTCATGCCTTTTGGCCTTTCTAACGCACAATCCACGTTTCAAGAAACAATGAACGACCTATTCCGCCACGTCCTCAGACAATATGTCTAGGTTTTTTTCGATGACATTCTCATCTACATTACATCCCTCGAACAACACTACCACCACCTGCAGACCGTTCTTCAAACACTGATACAAAACGATTTTCATGCAAAATACTCTAAATGTCAGTTTGGAGTAACCACAATCGATTACATGGGCCACATTATTTCCTCCACAGGAGTAACTGCAGACCCGTCAAAGATTACATCGATACAAACATGGCCGACCCCTGCTTCCTTCACCGCCTTGCGAGGATTTCTTGGTTTGACCGGCTATTACCTTCGATTCATTAAACACTATGATCAAATAGCCGCTCCACTCACGAACTTATTAAAACTGAATGCATTCACCTGGTCACAAGCAGCAAACCAATCTTTTCTCAACCTCAAATCAGCCATGATCTCCCTCACAACTCTTACCCACCCAAACTTTGATGATCCATCCGACATCACAACCGATGCGTCCAGTGTAGCCATATGAGTATTCCTATCACAGAACGATAGACCCATCTCCTTCTATAGTAAGAAAATGTGCCCCCGCATGCACGCATCATCAACATATGTTCGCGAACTATTCGCCATCACGGAAGCTGTAAAAAAATGGCGACAATACCTACTCGGGAGACGATTTCGGATTTTTACCGACCAAAAAAGCTTAAAACACTTACTCATGCAGGTGGTACAAACGATCAAACAGTACAATGGGCAACCAAACTGATTGGATTTGACTTTGAAATCTTTTACAAACCAGGTAAAGAAAATACAATTGCGGATGCATTGAGCAAAATCGATGATGTTCAACTCCTAGCCTTATCAGCTACCGAGCCAACATGGTGGAAGGACCTCCAAAACTACTACACATCAACCGAAGGACATGAACTCACCACCAAGCTTCTCAAACCAGGAGATAATAATTTCCAACTTCGTAATGGGCTGCTCTACCTAAACAACCATTTGTTTTTTCCTGATCAGCCAGCTATTCGACACACATTACTGGAGGAATACCACTCAAAAGTCTTGGGTGGTCACTCGGGTATCCTTGCTACCACTCGCCGAATTGCATCAACCTTTTGTTGGCCAAAATTAAAAGAAAATGTCCGCTCTTTCATTCGCGAGTGCAAGACCTGTCAGGAAACAAAATATCCTTCCCACAAACCATATGGATTACTCCAACCTATCCATATACCATCCCAGGTCTGGTGAGACATCTCTAGGGACTTTATAACTCACCTTCCTCCATCTGCAGGTAAAACAGTAAACTGGGTAATCGTAGACAGTTTCTCAAAGTTTATACACTTTATTGGTTTACCCACAAAATTCACTACCCACTCTCTTGCTACAATCTTCTTACAATCCATTTACAAGCTGCATGGTATGCCTAAAAGCATCATATCTGATCGGGACCCCATTTTTTTAAGTGGTTTTTGGCAAGAAATCTTCAAATAATTGGGAACCCGGCTGAACTACTCCACGGCGTACCATCCACAATCCGAAGGGCAAACCGAAGTTGTTAATCGCTGCCTCCAAACCTACCTCCGAGCCTTTTCAAATGAAGAACCACACACTTGGCACCGATTCTTGTACCTAGTTGAATATTGGTACAACACATCCCACCATTCTGCCATCAACATGACACTGTTTCAAGCTTTGTATGGTCGAGAGATTCCGGACCTCGATCGTTATGTACCAGGCAATTCAAGCAACACCATTGTGGACACCACATTGACTGAGCACAACAGGATCCAACTCATTTTCAAAGATAACCTTCGAAAAGCACAACAACGTATGGTTACCCTCGCAAACACCCACAGAACTGATAAGCAAGTTGCAATTGGTGACATGATCTACTTACGTCTCTAGGACTACAGACAACATTCAGTCCACAACTGAAACTCCAAGAAGTTAAGTAAATGATTTTACGGGTCATTCAAAGTCCTTGAGAAAATTGGATTGGTTGCATATCGCCTAGAACTTCCACCAGAGTCGCATATTTACCCAGTTTTTCACGTGTCTCGACTTTGGCAAGAATATGGGGACCCTCGTCCTACTCCTTTATAAGGACAACCACGAATTATAGCTCGAGGACGAGCTCAGTCTCAAAGAGGGGCAACTGATGCAGCCCAAGAGACTACTGTTGTGAGCCCAACAGAAGACAGCCCACCTGTCAGACCCAAGAGGAACCAAAGGCTGCCAGCTAGGTTGAAAGACTAAGTATTGGATCGTTCACCACTCTGCATGAAGTTAGGAGGAGACTTATTCTTTTTTTTATTGAATAAAGAAGCTAGTGCTTCTCTTAGGACCACGTTTTTTCTATTATGCATGCATGTTCCTTAATTTTAGAACTTAGTTAGTTTTCATATTTCTATAAATTGTAACTGGAAGTGGTGAAAAATATATCAGAAATTTACTTCATACTTCCATCTATCTTGATTTATTCTTTGGGGATTTGTCATCCATAATTGACTCTTATATATATATATATATATATATATATATATATATATATATATATATATATATATATATACATATATACTAGTTTATAATCCGTGGGAACCACGGGTTATAAAATTAATTAAACTTTCATAATAAAAAATTATAATTATTAATCAATTATTTTAAATAAATTATTAATTAAGAGATATATCAAAATTTTAAAGTTATTATAACTTTAAATTTAACATATAATTAGAAAATATAAATTTGAATTTTGAAATGAGTTGCCTAATATATCTACATGACACATGACATAATAATAATGAGGAGTTATATTAGAATGACACTTGGCAAAAGAAGATTAACACTATTTATTTATTAGAATATATATATAATATATATATATATATATATATATATATATATATATATATATATATATATATGGTCCTGTTCCGACGATGACTTTTTTTTCGGTGAGGACACCTTAAAAAAATTAAAAATATATATAAAAAGAAATACAAATCATAAAATCGAGCATAGTACTATATCGGAGAGAAAAAAAAATTTGGATCATTAAAACTGAATCATTGATCAGAAAAAGTGAATCATTGATCATAAAAATGATCCATGCTTTAATTTTAATGATCCAAAAAAAATTTTCCATTTTTTTTCTCTCTTATAATAGTACTATGCTCGATTTTATGATTTTTTTTTCAATTTTTTTAAAGTGTCTTCACGAGTCCTCACCGAAAAAAGAGTCCTCACCCGATCCTCTCTCTCTCTCTCTCTTTATATATATATATATATATATATATATATATATATATATATATATATATATATATATATATATATATATATATATCCCTATCTAATAAACAAAAGTAAATTGTCACGTGTCCCTTCAAAAACACTAATTCTATTCAATGTTAAATACCGTTTTTGCCCCTCTTTGATTTCACCTTCTATAATTCGATAATGTCCAGGTCAAAATAAATCAGCATTTAATTTCTATCGGAAATTAAATTGTCACGTGTCCCTTCAAAAACACTAATTCTATCCACGTGTCCCTTCAAAAATACTAATTCTATCAAATGTACACCGTTCCCCGTTCTTCATTTTTTCTGATTCTCAATCTCTAAATATTATTAAAAGAGAACCTTTAATTCTAAATTGAAGAAATCAGGGTCATTGATTGCATTTCAATCCTATATTTTTCACCTTTTGATTGTTTGTTAACATCATCTTTGTCAACCCCTTTATTTTTGTCCACAAATTCTATAAAACATATATTATGTTTTAAATTAGGAAGTCTATTAATGACAATTAAATCTCACCAAAAATAAAATGAATTAAATTAGTAATTCTATTAATGACAATTAAATTTCACCAAAAATAAAATTATTAAATTAGAAATTTTATTAATGACAATTAAATCTCATCAAAAATAAAATGAAAAAATGTCCCGCCTCATCCTCATTTCCAGTACCCCTAGCCTCTCTCCATTTTTTCTTTACATAATTTATCTAACCTAAGTTTTGTAGTGGGAAAGAAAATGAGGGAAAGAAGAAATAAAATATATGTGAGCTTTGATTTGTGTAGATCAGTCTTGTGTTCAATCATCATGAAAGAATGATGAATGATATAGAGATAAATTTATTGGATTCTACTTTAATTTGATCATAGTTTAGATCGATTTTGGGTACGTTTTAGATTATGTTTATTTTATTCTGTTTCAACTATAAAGTTCCAATCTATAAAACCTTTCGATTTAAGTTTAAATCCATAATGGTTACATTTTCTGAATCTGCTTCGATTTTTGTTCTTATGATTTGTATTGTTGATTTTGATTTTTTAAGTTATAGATATCTGGAGAGCAAAATGATGGACACAGCAACACCGCTACCTCTCATCCATTGTTTCGATTTGGAAGATATGTCCACTAGGTAGTGAATTTGTATATGTCGATTTTCTTTTTTATTTTTACATTTTTGTATATGCATTTAGTCAATGATTTTTTTGTGGCTTACCAAGTTATGAATGGAATATATACTCGAGTCAGTATCTATAATGTTTTACCCATTCGATCCCTTCCTGGATTTGGAGATGGAATTTAAACCCTTATACCAGTGAGTGATCCACATTTCTACAACTCAACAAAACCCAATGGTGATATGTGTTTTGATTTATTGTAAAAAAAACATCTTTTAAAGATACAAATTGGGCTCTCAGAAATAAGTTATTCACCTATCCTTTTTTAATATTACAAAAAAACATCTTTTAGACTCAATAGCAAAGAAAAGATAAAGTTTTAGTATACCATGTAAATAGATTATATCAATAAATCTTATTGGAAAATGTTTGGGATTGATTAATTAGCAGGGTTTTTTGGTTAACTTGCGTTGTCTGGGCATGTCGAGAAGCATAGTAAGAACCTTTCACAACCTTATTCTTTAGTTTAACTGGTTTGAATCTTCTTATTGAGTTTACTTTCTTAAGGATAAATGAGTACACCATACACTCTTGAAAATAGGGTTGGGAACATTGTGAGTATCAAAGTTTTCTCAGCAATAAGAGAAGATATTAGTATAAAAGTTGCAATATAAATCATTTTTAATTACATAATAATAACTAAACAAAGAAATGTGAAGGATTATCTTTATAATTTAAATTGCAATATATAACATAAAAAATCATATGAAATTTTCATTATGTTCCATTTCATGCCTCACAAACATGTTTCTGGAATGGAATTACTTATTCTATTATCTTGCTTTTATGATTACCGATCCATTCCATTTCTTTGTTGTTCCATTCTTTGCAACCTCACGTATCTCAAAAAAGTAATTCAGAAATCCATCATACAATAGAAAATGTTTTATAAACTCCTATAAGGGAAGAAGAAAGATAAGACTAAATGAGTGTATGGTGTTATTCTAATTATGATGTTCTTTCATCTCTCTCTATTTGCATGTTTCTAGCTTGTTTGTAGTATTGTCTATAAAATATTGTTGTTATATTTGAAAGTTCATTTTACCATTT